GTCCCATTTTTAGAGGTTATCTCTTGTTTACGAGTGCTATCGGTCTGTATCCGTATCCAATCGTCTGTACCTGTTTTATTCCACGCCACGCGCGCACACCACGAAACGCACGCATCAACACACATGCTCACATAGAAACACACACTGTGCAAACCCGTTCATAGGTTTATAGGCATCATTGTCGATCGTTCGGCGAAACGCCTGATCGCGGATTAGTGTTGAAGCAGCATGTAGGCAATGACATTGAGTAGGTGTCTTCCATTGCGTACGCCATTCATGTGAATTTGATCTTTTCAGAAATAAGAAATCTAGAAAATAATGAGAACATTATTGTAGAATCGTGTATGACGCGGAACGTGTGGCTAGTACTTGTGGTGATGTGTGCGTGGGCGTGGCGTGCGTTGCTGTGCCCAGCCCCGTCGCGTGCGCCTCGGTCGTGATTGTGAGTCGAGCGCTGATGTGAACTTGTGTGCTGTGCGTGTCCAGTCTGTGCGTGCCGTGCACCATGCGTCGTGTGTGCGACGTCAACTGAAGCGCCAGAGTGTGTGGCTGCAGTTGCGATGTGGCGTGCATCGTGCTGGGAAGGAAGCGCTGGAGTGTGTAGTGTGTGTCGTGTGTGTGTCTTGCGTAGCGTGCGTGCATGGCCGTTGCTCGTGGCGTGCGTGCCACTGTCTCTACTACCTATCAACCTTGCCAGCGTTAGTAATAAAACCGTCTGTCAATTATAGGAGTGTCCCGTGCGTCGTCGGTACGACCCAATGCGTGTACACACGGCGCCTTATAGACATAGAGGTGCAGTGTAGAACTGATTGACAAAGGTCGTTAGATAGAGAGAGAGGTACATACGTCATGTTTCCGGTTATATGCCCTGTTAATTAAGCCTGCTGCTAATTAAAATGAAGATCAGTTCACAGCTTATCGAAACATAACTAAAAATCTTACGAGTATTTATTTAAAATAATGTTCAGTTGTTGGGCGCATGTGTTAGCGCAAACAAAACGTTGCCGTGTATGCGTGCGAGTGTGTGATGCGTATGTGCGGCCGGGCGTGATGTGTCGAGTTGTGGGGGTATGTGCGTCGTAAAAGAAATATTGCGAGAGAGAGAGGAGAACAATACGGGGGAACGAGGTCTGTGTGTGCCCACCCGCTGAATCCACGTTTGTGTATGTGTGTCCCTGTTGTTGTGTATATTATATATATATATATATAATATATATATATAATGTGTGTTTGTTGTGTCCGTGCGTGCGGTTGCGCACCGTACGTATGAAAAATGTGCGAGAGAGCGACCAAGAAATGAGAGAAAGAAGAGAGAGAGAGAGGGGTGAGAAGTCATGGACAGAGAGCAGATCGGCTAGGCGAGAGAAAGTAAAAATATTATATAGAAGGAATATGTGCATCCGTGCCTCGTGCTGCTGTGTGCCGTTAATGCCGTACGTGCGTTGTCTGCAGCCCCGTGTGATCTGCGCATGCCGTGTGCATATCTCCGTCTGCATTCTGCCCCTCCTTCCATCCCTCTCCCTTTCTCTCCTCTTTTCATTCCTCTTCCCCTCTCACTCCGTTCCGCCTCAGTATTGTCCTCCCCTCTCTGCGAATAGTATCGCCCACGCATCAGGTGCACTGCAAAATGTTAGGCACCTCAAAATGCCGGTTTTCATTCTCAACTTTTTCACCCCCCCAAAGCACAGAATATCGATTTTTACGCAATGAATACGCGTTTTACTGTCACACAAACACACCATACACACACAAACTTAACGGAACGCTCACAACGGCAGGTACTGTCCGAAACGCGACGCGTGCGCCGTGTATATAGGGCGTAAATTTCACATTTTTCCTCGAGAAGTTGAAAAAAAGATTCACGCTGAAAAATACGCGCCATTTACTGCAAAAAGCTTTTTTTCCCACACTTGACTTGTCGTGGGCGATACCATCCGCAAGAGGGCCGCTAAAGAAATATCGTTTATAGTTTTTAATTCACGCGAGGGATGAGCGCTGCGTTGGACACAGGGACACCCAAACGTGTTGTGACGTTGCCAGTGACGCGTTGAAGCGGCACATGGAGGTAGGTGCGTTTTGTTGCAACTGCATTTTACTATTTTAGAGTTTTGCGTTTACTTCGAAATTCTGCGGTAGCGTTCAAAGTCTAGCAAGACAGGGGTCTGAACCCCCGAAGAACAGAAAACGGTGAATATATAACACTAATATTACTATTCAGTAGGTACCGGTATTCGCTCTTCTTACATATAAATTATTAAATATTTACAAATTACATTTACATATAAATATAATATTAATAATATTTAATATTAATAATATAGGCCTAGCACCCGAGAAAGAGAAAAATTGCGAGAGAGAGAGAGAGGGTATGTGCGTGCGTGCGTGCGTGCGTGCGTGCGTGCAGGGTTAGGGATGTTCACATTGTCACTGTCAGTGTTTTCCCTCGTGGGACATACAGTAGACCTAGAGTTGTTCACGTCAGGAGAGCAGACAGCTCTGGCAAAGAGAAATCACTAACTATAGTTGGGCTTCCCTAGAGGTTTCTCGCTCGTAAATATTTGATTCGAAATTACTTTTACCCAACCGCCGACAAAAGACACGAAAACCTCCGAATCGATTTTAATAGCAACATTTATTAATACAAGAAGTTTTCTACTATTTACAATATACTTACAAAAATCAACAATTTGCCACACCACTATATATAGTTGCGGCCGTGGCAAATCCAATCGGAGTCCAACTTGCGTGGAGGACGCCGAGGAGAATGACCTATTATAATTTCAAAACTTCAATATATACGCTATATTCCTTGTATGTACAACGGCCTGTGCATGATCACTCACTCACTGTATCCACCGTGAGTCGACAGCAAATTCCTCTAAATTACAATGCATAAGTAAAACTGCGTTGACACAGCGAAGAGCGGGAAAGCGTGAAGTTGTCGATCACGAATGATCCCTCTTGTAGCAGAGGTTGTTATATAACGGTTGTTTCCTCTTACGTAAAGACCGTCATTTCATGGAGTAGCTGCGCTACACATACATGCACATGTGCATATATTATATATATATATATCCTATATGTATATATGCACATCGTACGCTGACGATTGGCATATTCAACAACTGTCGCGCAAACTGACTCTGTGAAATGCACACTACTCACATTATATTAGTAGTAGTATTAATAGGCTACCATATTACTACCAACCAACATTTAGCACCACCACTAGTAGTAGTAGGCTAGCCATACTATTCAGTACTAGTGGCTGTGAATGTAGCTTGCTGTACAGACTGAGACTCACTGCTGGCTGCAGGTTACGAGCGATATTATTTTTAAGATAGGTCCACGCGTGTCGACCAGCTAACAAAAAATAGCTGGTTTCTTAAAATCTTAAATAAAATCACTTTCAACGTTATCGTGAAATGCGATCAACCAATAATCAAAATGGCGGCGAGCAAGAACCGACGAACCATGCACTTTACCGCGTGAAAGCGTGAAACACAGACAGACCCTCGTGTGAACTAAAATAAACCTACAATAACGTATAGCAGCAACCACCAAACCACGATTGTCAAAGCTCGCCACGTTATAACACGCGCGCACGCGCGCACACACTGTAAATATCACCAGGTGCCAACCGGCGTGTATCTCTATCAGGAAAACACACGCCTTACACGCAGGCAACTGCACGAGAGTTTTGTCACACAACACAACCCCCGACGGGGCTTGGAACAACGAATGGACACGGTTTCTCTCACTTAACACATGGCCGATGGTTGTTTAAACAACCACCACTGTTGATCACCAACCACCGCCCCCTTACTCTGGGCAATCGTCCCACTCTAAAGCGTTACCTAACAACAACAACGACAATGATCACAAATGACAACGGTAAAACAACGTTGCAAAATAAATAATATCGCAGGACAGAACGTCACACGCGCAATTGCACGCACGCACGCACGCACACGCACAATGCACGCGTCGTCAATTTTATAACAGTCGATTGCAACACGTAACTTCCAACATCTGTATTATACTTACTACCTGGCATAAACACGTGTGTGATGTATATATATATATATATATATATATATAGTCG